CAGATATAAACATATGTATGTATGTATGTATGTATGTATGTATATATATATATGTAAATGTATACATAATATGTATGTATGTATGTATGTATGTATGTATATATATATATGTATATCTCTAAACATGATTAAACGTGGTCGCCCCCCTTGACAGACCATGCCCTTTCATAGCCGTCCCCGGGCAGGATCTGTCAATGGATGGGCGACAATGACCTCTCCCAAACTCAATTCCAAAATTTCCAAAATTCCTCCATGATCAACAGCTCTGGAGCAGGTCTCCTGGAAGCAGTTCGAAGACATCCTTGGTGCAACGGATCCGTCACAGGCCACGGAACAGACCCCATCGGTTTAGGGTTTACGGCTGAACGCCAGCTGGCTGCTGGATGTATGGTTCAGCAGATTCTCGGGCTTGCTCAACCCAAAACCCAAAACCCTAAATCTCAAACCCAAACCCCTTAAGCCCTAAATCCTGATCTCTGTCGTGCCCCATGAAGCGGTTCACATAAAAGCGGCTTCCAGCGAGGCCAGAGTCGACTCCATACGTGGTCAGCTCTTCCACCATTGGCAGGCAGCAAAGTAGGACGTTGTCGTACAAGCTACACTATGCTATCCTATACGATACTGTTTTGGGCAGCCGGATGTGAGCCCTCTAGTCGCGCCATGCTGCGACGTAGGTCAAAAGGCTTCGGGAAAGAAGCATCGCCAAGATTGCTGTCGGTGGTTGTACTTTGTTCAATTAGTTTTTTACATTATGCGATCTTATACTGGATTTGTAGGATCATGGCTTGAACCTTCAAGGAGTGCGGGCTCAGCCAGCAGCCCACTACAACGGAGCCAGTTGCCCAGACAACTGAAAGTGCACCAAGCACCCCAGGCTCAGAATAAGACTGTCAAATATGACGGTGATGCATGACAAACAAACAAACATACATACATGCATACAGACATACATACATACATACATACATACATGCCTAGTATACATTCGTATATACATATATATATATACACATTTGATTAACAAATAACGTTACCATTGTAAATAGATACATACACATATTGTATGTACAGAGACATATACATCTACATATTATATTTGTTTAACGCATATACGTACACACGCACACACGCACGCACGGCACGGCCTGTCCCATAGCAGTCCCGGGAGATGTCTGAATCCGCTCAGCAACATGGGGGTTTCCGAAAATAGGGGACCCTAAGAGAGTACCCTAAATAGTAGGATCCTTATTATAAGGACCCCAAACTAAGGTACCCCTTATTATGGGAAACTCCCATAGCAGTCCCGCGAGATGTCTGAATCCGCTCAGCAACGCGGTGCACTTCTCGGCCGGCGCGCTGGAGGCGCTGAGGGAGCGCATGTTGTGCCGTCCTCAGCCTTTTCTTAGTCGTGCTTGTACACAGGTCCGGATGCAACCGTTAGGATGATCTAGGGTTTGGGGTTAGGTCTGAACAAGAGTCACAGCAGATTACCTTAACCCTAGACCCTAAACCCTATTCCGACATTTTTGGGGATGCCGCAGCAGGCAGAAGGCTTGGAGGCTTGGACGAGGCGTAGACAGCCGGAAATCTTGAGCGCAGCCGAAGAGCCTTTCCTTGTAGACTCGTGCAAGATGGGATGGACACAAAAGCTCGTACCCACACCCTGGTTGCAAAGATGAAACGCACAAACGACAGACTTGAGAGTTTCGTATGTCCGGACAGGCAGCGGAACGCACAACGAAACGAAATGGCAAGCACTAGGCACGCACTTCCAAGTTACGAGAAGCTTGCGTGCGGAGAGCAACTTGCCAAGAACTCATCAAGTCCGCCCCGGTTCTGAGAAAATTGGACTGATAACTCCTTCGCTCTTCTCATCTCTTCTCCCAGCGCCGTTCATGAAGTTCTCTCACTTGCTGGTTGTAGAGCACATGATGCGTGCTGGAATAAGAATGCCAGCCGCAAGCCGCACCTGGCCTAGCTCGCGCTCTCCTTGTCTTATATATTCTATATTCTATATTATATATTATATATTATTGTATGTGGGCGGGCTGCAGGAGGGTGACGCAGTTCACAGATGTTGTGCTGTGAGGTGGCATTCGGTGGACCCGGAGGAACTGCTTTTGGCTTGCAATTTCAATCACGCATGGTTCTGGCGTAGCGTATGCCTGGAGTTTTTTTTTCTCGGATATTTCCGGCAAGGACATGTCAGGCTAAGCAAGGCAGGCTGCTGATGCGTAGTCAACATCAGTCCCAAATGCGCCACACGGCCACTACCCGCGACACGTCACAGCGGGGCCAAGGTGGACTGGATGTCGTCTGGAAGACGATCCGCTCGGTCGCTTGCTGCTGTCCAGCGGAGTGCGCCGGCATCGGGGAGTCTTTTCTCGACAGACAAGCTGAGGGCAAATGGTTGTGCTTCGATGTCGTGGAACCCGATCATCTACTATACTTTTTTGTGCTATGCTATACTACACCATCTACTACAACATAATGTAGCATAAACATGAAGACAAAAATCAACATGCACATAAACACACATATATATATATAGAAGTGTTAATACAAAAATGATTTAGATAAGATTTAGATATAGATAATACAATACAAATATAAATGCCATATAAGATATAATATAGCATACTGAAAATATGTCAGAACATAATATAGTATTGTATGATATATACTATCATTGTATAAAATAGGATATCGCAGACTATAGTATAGTATGTTCCTAACACGAAAAATGTAACATAATACAAACTGGACTAGTATAATACATATCGTAGAACGAATATATACATATAAATATAAATATAAATATAAATATAAATATAAATATATATATATATATTTATTTATATTAGTTAAAACAAAATGATATAATGTAGTACAGTGTAGTATAATACCGTATGACATAACATGAGATAAGGCAAGATGAGACAAGAGAACATGATGTAAGCTAATACAATCCAAAATCGGCGGGCCCTAAATGAAAGGATGTCTGCACGAGGCGCTGTGATCGGGGGCTGAGGACCCAAACAATCTGGTTTAGGGATTTAGGGTTTAGGGGTTAAGGGTTTAGGCTTGGACCAAAACTGGTGCTCCATTCTTATCAGGCTGCATAGCTGCTTCTTGCATCGGGTTGGGGTCTACTGCACGCGACTAGGTACCGCAGCACATTTTGGAGCAGTGGATGGAGAATCCAGATGTGGATGGCTGGTGTATAGGCCTGGGTTGCTTGTTTAGCTGACAGCCGAGCAACAGAAGTCCCAGACATGCACTTTGAAGCACGATATAAATTGAATGATCGCAGGCACGCGGCGCGTGACTGGACCACTGTTCGCCTGCACAGAGGCCCGAACTGCACACGCAAAGCCGACAAACGGCACACCGGAGCATGCCACGACAGCTAATGTGAGTAGCAGAACCAACCAAGATCGAGCAGCATTTGCAGACTCAGTGCAGGCATGTGACACGGCAACCTTCCGAGATTCGGCGCTCCGGTATCTGCGGGACAAGGTACTCCAACTTCAGATGCGAATGTTGCTTGTTGATACATACGGCCCAGGTTTCCTGATGCAGCTTTTGTGAGTTATGTTACAGTCTTGCTCGCCTTCAAGTTTCTCCAGCGCTTTCGCGATTGGACAACCGGAATTGCTTCTTGGGAGGGCTAGTCATAGAAGCATGCGAGACGCAGGGCACCTCGTCCATTGATCAGTCGGTTGCTACAGCAAGACTTGACGATCCTTTCTACGAGCCTATGGACTGGCCTTGTGGGCGTAGTGGCGGGGCTTCGAGCCGGGTTTCCCCCTTTTGTGTCTGTCGAGCAACTCGCAACACTGAAATCGATATACTCAAGCCTTAAACACTTAAACACTCAATTCCCAAGCCCCTGAGCGCCAAGCCTGTAATCCTTTAAAAGCCAGAATTGATTAGAACACCTTTCGAGTTCGGGTATGAAGGGGTTTAGGCTGTAGCCAGTTTCACTGACTTCTACAGTCCCCTGCCAGAAAACCCAAACTTGACAGCCGCCGGAATGAGGCAAAAGATGGGCCCATAAAAGGTTCGTCGGTCTTCATGGCGGCGGTTTTGTGGATCTGCTACGCATTGCCTTTACGCCCAGATCGGTCCAAACCCGGTTCGTATCCCAACTCTAGCACACATCGGCGGATGTGGCTTCATGCAACAATGTGCCTTCGTCAAGAGATCAGGTGGTAGGATCCTTTTTCAAGAAGTCCCGTCTTGCGAAGCTGGTGGACACATAGCCGAACTCCTATTTTTAAACCCTAAACCCCCGTAATGTCCGATCATACGAACACCTCTGAAGGGCGAGATACTGCACTGCTGGACACTCTCAGCAAGGCCGGAAACATGTTCTGGCAGGTTGCTATGTCATGTAATCTGGTATTATATAAGGTAATATAAGATAACAGAATGTGAGAAGATGTAAAAGGTAATATGGTGTACTACAGCATAGTAGCTGATCCGTGCACACTTGCATACATGCAGATCCCGCCGCAGCAATGCTCGAGATTTGTCATTAATGACAGCGAGTGGTACTGCGGGATCAGACAGGCGGACTCAGAAGCCGCAGAACCCCCTAAACCCTAAACCCTAAACCCTAAACCCCTAAACCCTAAACCCTAAGCCCCCCAGGGGCAGACACAAAGCCCCTGAGTTCTTCCATCGGCCTTGAGACGATGCATCGTCTGCCGCGCCGGGTCCTAGGAGCCTATGCTTTCGCCGAGGGAACAGGCAGGACAAAGAGCCGTGTGCAAGGTTTAGGGTTTAGGGGTTTAGGGTTTAGGGTTTAGGGTTTAGAAGCATCCTTGATCGATAAAGAAGCTCCAACATGCGCAACTCATCAGGCTTCGTGCATCATTGGTACGTGAAGCGAGACTTGGCCTTTAGCCCCAGCGCGGGTACCGGCATGTCATGATTGCAGTCGCAGAGTGTTGGTGCTGCGCCTTGTGCTGCCGCACGGTTTCCGGGGAGCAGACTCGGAGGCTCAAAGCTTGGATGTGCAGATGCCTAGATGTGGGGTTTGAGTAGAGGGACCATCTAGATGGCCCAGAAAAATCCTTAAACCCTAAACCCTAAACCCCAACCCCTAAACCCTAAACCCCCTACCAGCTTCGTTCTTTTCGTGTTTTCTATCGGGCTCAAAGCTCAGATCCGAGCTCTTTCAGAGCAGAAGCCGGGCCTCCAGGAACCGAAGTCTGATGGCGGCCGATTTTTATTTTTTTAAGGGGCCTTCAAGGGCCCTTTGGGTTTAGGGCTTAGGGTTTAGGGCTTTGGGCTTCGGGTTTAGGGTTTAGGGTTTAGGGCTTAGGGTTTAGGGTTTATAGGGCTTAGGGATCGTGCATGCGGCTTTTTGTACTCAACGGCCACAGGGTTCTTGAAGTGGCCAGGCGCAAATGGGAACAGGTGAGCGTCGCAGCAGAACGCTTTTGGGAGCCAAGGCAGGGATAAAACGTCTACTATAATATAGTACATAGTATCATATACTATAATATTTCGGAATATACTAAAATATACTATCATTATATACTATAATATACTATAATTTACCATAATATAGAGAAATCAAGCTCGAAGCTCTTTCTCGGTGGGTCACCATCAAAGGAAACTATTCTGCTCGGGCGGCCTCCCAAAATTGTGTGTGCGTGTGTGTGTGCGTTCCTGTGCCTGTGCCTGTTGTGAGGTTGGAGGCAAATTGGGAGCTTCCAGCACTCCAAACCCAAACGGGGCTTTCCGAAAATTAGGGTACCTTATTTTGGGGTCCTTATGATAAGGATCCTACTATTTAGGGTACTATATTAGGGTCCCCTATTTTCGGAAACCCTTAAGCCCCGAGAGCCATAAACCCTAAGGCCCAGATCCACCCGGCCGCTCTTTCGGGCATCTGAGGACGTGCGCGGCGCAGCGAAGCGCCAGCACACGCCCCCGCGGACGAAGAGTACGGTCGCCGATTTCTTTCTCTCGCACGCTGTGATGGCAGTCAAGGCGATGGGGGGTTTAGGGCCCACAGCACTGGGTGAAGTGAAACTGGGGACCTTTGTGGTTGTCGTTGAGCAGATCCCTTTTTTCGTGAATCGACAGGAGCAACGGAGATCAATGAAGTTCTTGGAGAGTTGTCTTAAGCCCTCGGCCCGGGGGAGTGTGAGGCGACTTCGACTCCCTGGCGTGCGCGCGCTTCCTGCGCCATGCCTTCTTTGGAATGCCGTGCGAGGCACTTTCCCGCGAGGCCCGGAGAGACCGGGAGAGAGACGTCGGCTCTTCTGTCACTTCTCCGTTTGCAGGCCGAGCTGGTAGAGAGGGCCTTCGCAGGGTTTCGGTGCGGACATCTCGCTGGTGAAGTTCAGGGCTCTGGGCAGCCGGATACGAGGCGACTTCCCTTCCTTACCGGAGGTGGTCCATCGCTGGCTTCGCAGCCACCTTGGAGGACTTGGGGAGGCGGAGGATGCAGCCGAAGCCTTAGTTCTGCGGCGGTAACCGGCCTCTCACCTGCGACTAGGCGACTAGAACCTGACATCCACTACGAGGGTGGTTTGATTGCTTGATTAACTTACGGTTGAATGTTGCGATATGTGATCGAATCGCTGGTCCTGAGATGTGATGCCGCCAGCAAACGCGATGCCTGTAGTGGATTTCCATTGAGCACACTCTGCAGATCTCCTCGCTGGAAGCTGCACTTGGCCCCTTCGCTCCAAGCATGCGAGGCACGGCCCCCAATCACGGTGGATAGGCCGCTGTTTGAGTTTTAGGGTTTAGGGTTTTGCAAGCCTTGAGAGGCGTGGTGGCGCCTTCGGCGTTTGTTTTCGGCGAGGGATGGGCCACTTGGACCTGAGATTCGACACCAAATCGCTGCGGCGCTTTTTTCCCATCCAGCCTTTAAACCCTAAACCCTAAACCCTAAACCATCAGGTTGAGGCCTGGTACAAGCCGCTTCTTCTCCGCTGGTTTCTCGAGGCCCTGTGTCAGGAACTTGTTTTTGCCACCCCTTCCCAGGCACATCGTAAGCCAAGGGCCATGTGGTTCTTGTTACAAGTAGCGCGGCCACGTTCTTGCGTCAGGGCCAGCGCTACATCGCCAGACGCAGGTTGCAGCGGCAGGGCTTCGTCGAGACTCGCGCAGATGCGGCGGGCCTGCCCCAGTTGAGCTGCCGAGACTTGCAGATTGGCACAGTGCGTTGTGGAGTGCGGTGCAGCGGATACATTATGGTGTTTAGTAATTTAGGGTTTAGGGTTTAGGGTAGTGTGATACGATACGCTGTGCGGCTTTTGAGGCTTTTGGGAACGCGAGGGGGATGCGAACGAGGAGGGTGGTGATCCGAGTGAGCCACCACTCGTCGTTCTCCACGGCTACGGACGAGGCCGGCGGTAGTTGTCTACGAGATTCCAGGCGCATGTACACGAAAAACACCTGAAACACACGACCCTAAACCCTAAACCCTAAACCCCGAAAGGGTTGGAGACGCGTCATGCAGTCACTAAAAGGCCTTTAAAAAAACAAAAACCCTAAACCCCACGATCTACTCTATAGAGATTACACTTACATTCAAGCTGTTGCGCAATCCTGGACTCTGCCCAGTTCCCCGTCTTGCCCCCGCCTTGGGCTGCTGAACTCGGATCCTTTCCTGAGCTGAAGCTCTGAACCATGGCAGACCCCTAGGCCCTAAACCCCTAAACCCTTAAATCCTAAACTACAACCCCTACACCCTGAAGCCCTAAATCCCCATTACCCTTAAATCCTAAACTACACCCCCTACACCCTGAAGCCCTAAATCCCTAAAGCCCTGAAGCCCTAGAGCTAAACCCGAAACCCTACTCAGACGCAGGTCTGGCATCGCCGCTCTTCGAATGGATGATCCCCAGTCTAAAGCGCAGGCCGCCGGAGGAGAGAGGTCCTAGAATCTACTATAATCTACCAAAATCAACTAAGCAACTAAACTCTACTAATAACTGTTAAAATCTACCATAATCTACTATAACCTATTAAAATCCGTTGTAATCCCGATTTGCAGTGGGGGCTGAGGGTTTAGGATAATTCACGATAATCAACTACAGTGTACTGTAATGTACTTCAACCTATGACAATTTACTGTACTCTATTCTGTCTATTCTATAATACATTCTGATGCACTATGACATATGACCTATCACTGCAGTCAGCTGAAGTGTCTTGCAGCTTCAGGCGAGTGATTATCGTGGACTGTCAGCGGCCTGGGCTGCATTTCATTTGACGCGAGCTCCATCGTTCCCTGCTGCTTGGGTAGTTCTCTAAATTAGCGTCCCTTTTCGGTCCCCCAAATGGTCCGGCACCCTTGTAAACAGGACCCTAAAACGGGACCCTAATTTAGACAACTACCCATTTCGCTTTGAGCCAAGGTGGCTGATGGTGACTCGAGTTCCTGTGCGTGGAGATTTGGCGAAAACCCCCACTGTTCGCCAGATCTCAGCTGCTGTAGCGGCCTACCTGGCCAAGAGGCCAATTCAATTGGGTGTAGGAAAAGAGTAAGGGATTCGGGGCATATGCGGGTGTCTGTAGGAAGCTTCTGATACAGACCTGCGTTCTCACGGCCTTTAACGCGAGGATTTCGGCATACCTCTGACTGCCCAGAGTGAGGCGCTTCTCTCCAAGAGTCTTCTTCTCTCCAAGAGTCTTCGTGCATGCTATGCCATCTGTCCATCATTGATGTTTGACTCGTGACTCCTTTCAAGTGTTAAAGGTTTTTCTTCTCGCCGAGCTGGGGACAGATGTCGTGCCTAACATACATAGAAGTCCATCTACCTGATACTCGGAATTTGCGTTGAGTAGCCAAGGTTGCGAAGTAAGGTAGTGCCATGACAGACGTGGGCGACAAGTTCATTGATTTGAGAGCAGTTGCTCGCAGCATGCATGTTCTCATGGATCTACATTGTATACATCTGAATGAGGATGACTGAAGACGCGTGCTCCTAAGTGCACTCATGAAGATCATTCGCCGTGCGAGTCATGTGGTCATGCCGACCGTGCAATGCAGATGACGTCACAGCTCGAGCCGGGATCGCGAAGCTCAGCCAGCGAGAGCAAACCCTTCGTCTGGAGCGCGGCTAGGTCGCTTCCACTCTCTCTCTCCCTCCCTCCCTCCCTCTCTCTCTCTCTCTCTCTCTCTCTCTCTCTCTCTCTGAGGATAGTAATTAATTTTCTGCACTACATACACAGTAAAAGTATACTATATATGGTATAAGATACGATATC